CCTGAGCTGAAGTCAGACGCTTAACCGACTGAGCCATCCAGGTGTCCCAGGAATGAGTATATTTTTAAAGGGAGGCTTTACTGCTCTAAAAACAACTTCCATTTTCTTCTGTTTTAGGAGTCTTCTACTTAAGGTCGTAAGTAAAGTTTTTTTTTCCTTCCAAAGCGTTAAAAACTTAGAACGAGAGAGATTAAATAGTTGGTTTAGGGAGTTTAGGCATTACACACCATCTAATCTCTTCACTTAATCTTTTAACTTCTATCAGGAATAAAATCCATTCATCCACGAGCAGGGTTTCCCCCAAATTCAAATAACAAAATGGTGGGGGAAGAAATGGTGAGAGGTAGAAAGTAGACACGTTCCTGATAGCAGAGCACTTAGGATTTGTGTTTATAATTAATCTGTCGGGCCTTGGTAAGCCCTGTGTACCTCCGTTATGTGTTAAGTGTCATGGGATGAGCATAGCGCCAACACTGTTGCTTTTCCAAAGTACGATGAGAAAGAGCTGAGCTCCACACTATGTGCAAAGGCCCTGTGACCTGATGGCGTAGTCAAATTGAGTCATGGAAAGGTATTTATGAAAGGAACTTAAAATTGCTTCTCATTAAGTGTGGCAAAGATAAATAAGAACAGAATTACTAACTGTCCTAGAAAAGCAATTCTACCACTGTAATGCCTAATTAATTCTAGAAGCATCTAATTTACAGGCATATGTTTGACTCTACCAGTAAAGTTTCCATGCTAGTAGCAAAACTCACTATTTCATCTTATGATAATTGGTAAAAACTCTTCAGAGATGGTAACATTTACACAAATGAAAAGTGAAATTAAATTCCAGGTTGACAGACTCAGCATTTGCCTGGATCACAAAACTTTGCTCCTGGAGACCAGTAAACACATTTCCCTGGTGAGGAAATTATTTTGGTTTATTCCAATTTGAAACTCTTTCATAGGATTTGAGCACTGTGGGGAAGAATTAAATCCTCTCAGCTCCTCTGAGAAAGAACACTTTATTCTTCAAAAGACAAATCCCAGAATGAAATTGGACCATTATGTTACACCATATACAAAAATAAATTCAAAATGGATTGAAGGCTTAAATGTAAGACCTAAAAGCAAAATATGCTCAGAAGAAATTATGGACAGTAAGTTCTTTGACATTTGTCTTAGCAGTATTTGTTTGGACCAGTCTCCTTAGGCTAGGGAAACAAAACTAAAATTAAAAAAATGGGATTACATCAAACTAAAAAGATTTTGCACAGAGAAGGAAACCGTCAGCAAAACAAAAAGGCAACCTACTGAATGGGAGAAGTTATTTGTAAGTCATACATCTGATATGGGGTTAATATCTGAAATATATAAGGGATTTACATGACTTAATATCAAAAAAACCAAAGTGGTTAAAAAATGTTCAGAGGACTTGAATGGACATTTTTCCAAAGAAGACTTACAGATGGACAACAGGCACATAAAAAGATGCTCAGCATCGCTCATTAGGGAAATTCGAATCAAAACCACAATATCACCTCACTCTTATCAGACTGACTACTACCAATAAGACAAAAAAGAAGAATTGGCAAGGATGTAGAGAAACGGGAACATTTGCACACTGTTGGCGGGAATGTGAATGGTACAGCCACTGTGGAAAACAGTATGGAGGTTCCTCAAAAAGTTAAAAATAGAACTACCTTATGACCCGGCAATTGCACTACTAGGTATTTACCCAAAGGATACAAAAATACTGATTTGAAGGGATACAATGCACCCCAATAGCAGCATTATCAACAACAGCCAAACTATGGAAAGGGCCCGAATGTCCATCAGTTGATGAATGCATAAAGATGATGTGATATATATTCACCAAAAGGAATGAAATCTTGCCATTTGCAACAATGTGGATCGAACTAGAGTATATTACGCTAAGCGAAATAAGTCAGTGAAAGACAAATATCATACGATGTCACTCATATGTGGAACTTAAGAAACACAACAGATGAACAAAGGGGAAGGGAAAGAAAAATAAGATAAAAACAGAGAGGGAGGCAAACCATGAGACTCTTAAACACAGAGAACAAACTGAAGGTTGCTGAAGGGGACGTGGGCGGGGGGATGGGCTAAATGGGTGATGGGGATTTAGGGGGCACTTGCTGCGATGCGCACTGGGTGTTGTATGTAAGTGATGAATCACTGACTTCTGCTCCTGAAACCAATACTTATTTTTAAAAAGACATTCTTTCACAGTGGAATGATCCCAAAAAGGAAAAAAAAAAAAGTTTGCTCTTACTCTCAGTTCTTGGGGAACAGAATTTGGCTTCTTTATGTTGATCTCAATGCTACTGTTGTCTTGTTTGAGTTCCACTGGGGACCCATCCACTCTGGCCACACCTTCAAACATCTGGGATTTGGTTAATGAGGAGGCAAGTACCACCGTGGGACTCTCTCTTTCCTTCTCCTTGTCACCATGAACTGTTTCTCCATTCACACTGACTTTCCCATCTACCTATAAAAAACACAGTGAACAAAAAACACAAGCTATTCCCCAATGAAAGACTATAACAAAAGAACACATTCAGAGTCACGGTAAAACACTATCACTTAATAATCAGGATCCAACCAAAAGTAAGGCCTCTCAAATGCTTCCATTGGCTCTGGAAATTAGGGCCCCCATAAATGACCTCTTTAAGGACCTCTTTTATTTATTTTTATTTTTTTAAGTTATTTATTTATTTATTTTTAATTCTTTTTAACATTTATTTATTACTGAGAGACAGAGACAGAGAGAGCACGAGCAGGGGAGGGGCAAAGAGAGGGGGAGACACAGAATCCCAAGCAGGCTCCAGGCTCCGAGCTGTCAGCACAGAGCCCGACGTGGGGCTTGAACTCACAAACTGTGAGATCATGACCCGAGCTGAAATCAGACGCTTAACTGACTGAGCCATCCAGGTGCCCCTAGTTTACAATTTTTTTTAACGTTTATTTATTATTGAGAGACAGAGAGAGACAGAGCATGGGCATTGGAGGGGCAGAGAGAGAGGGAGACACAGAATCTGAAGCAGGCTCCAGGCTCCGAGCTGTCAGCACAGAGCCCAATGCGGGACTTGAATTCAAGAACCGTGAGATCGTGACCTGAGCCGAAGTCAGACACTTAACCAACTGAGCCACCCAGGTGCCCAGAATCTCTTTTAAAATTCATCAATCATGGGGCGCCTGGGTGGCGCAGTCGGTTAAGCGTCCGACTTCAGCCAGGTCACGATCTCGCGGTCCGTGAGTTCGAGCCCCGTGTCAGGCTCTGGGCTGATGGCTCAGAGCCTGGAGCCTGTTTCCGATTCTGTGTCTCCCTCTCTCTCTGCCCCTCCCCCGTTCATGCTCTGTCTCTCTCTGTCCCAAAAATAAATAAACGTTGAAAAAAAAATTAAAAAAAAAAAATAAAATAAAATTCATCAATCTTCTCGGGCCACTTCACTTTGGGTTAAATTTCCTGTTCACTTGGTCTGTGCTCTTATTTTAAAGTATAGAAAATTAAAGAATCTTAAGTATAAATACATGTCACACATTTGGGTTGCAGTGTACTTCATTCAAGTTCTGATTACTATTCCACAGTTTTGAGATTTTTTTTTCTGGCTATCATATAAATTAGGTAGAACCCACCTCAGCTCAGGAACCTTCTATAGGTTATTCTGTGGTAAGGGGGCAATGGGTACATTTTTGGAAGCGAACACGAAGGGCAGGGGGCCTGATACTATGCTATATTACAGTGAATCCCCATTTCCAGCTAATTTTACAATCCCAATTTTTCCAAGAACAAAAGGCCATCACATTAAAATATTTTTGTTTTGTACCCATGTGTAGGGAAGGTGGTAAAAGCAAGAAAGGAGGAGCAGAGAGGGTGGTTAGTCTGGCTTCTTGAAAGGCACCTAGAACCTTCCCCTCCGTCTTAAAGTCTGGGGCAATATACACAGTGGTTATAAGAGGAAGCTGCAGTCAGACAGCCTAAGACTCAATCCTGGCTCTATATTTAAAAACCACATAATCCTCAACAAGTGTCTTATCCTCTGTGCTCAGATTCCTCACCTATAAACTTTTATAATGGCATCTCCCTGATCGTGCTGTTGAGGGGATTTTATGGGTTAACATATGTACAGAGTTTACAACAATATCTGGCACAATTTATGTATATAAACATTAGCCATTATTATTACTAGGCCTTCTAAAATCTTTCAAGAGGAATAATGGAAGGCCAGATATTAGTTAGGGTTTATTTACCTTAAGCCTGTGGCTTAAAGAATCTGTTGTCTGTGATCCATAAGAAAGAAACTTAAATCATAACTGAGCACACCCACATAACTATAGCTGAAATAGGGGTTTTGCAAAATACTTTTTACCTTTATTTTATGTGATGCACTATTTTTTTTTTTTGTATTCTATTTTACTTTATTAAAAAATGCTAGGGGCGCCTGGGTGGCTCGGTTGGTTAGGCGACTGACTTCAGCTCAGGTCATGATCTCGCAGTTTGTTGAGTTCAAGCCCCGCATCAGCTCTGTACTGACAGCTGAGTACCTGGAGCCTGCTTCAGATTCTGTGTCTTCCCTTCTCTCTACCCCCTCTCCTGCTCATGTTCTGTGTCTCTCTGTCTCTCAATAATAAATAAATGGTAAAGAAAAATTTTTAAAAAATGCTAATACTAAGCCACTAAATTGATTTCATAACCTGGCAACAGGTAATAATTCTCACTTTGAAAAACACTGGCTTAAACTATTTCACTTGATTTTCCTTTACTCTTAATTCTGTTGTACTAGGAAACTAAGCCCGTGTTCTGTCTCCCTCATCCCACTGCCCCACCCACATGAGCGCGCGCGCGCGCGCGCACACACACACACACACACGTACCCCTTAGCTTCTACCCTGGCATTATCTGGTAGCAACTTTCCATTTATATACTACCTTTGACCATAACTGGGTTCACCCACTGAGTGGTAGGGCTGTGAATGGGGCTCATAGCCATAAATGCCCATGATGAGTCAAGGGCTCATTGGTGGTCAAGAGTGAACCCCAGCTCTAAAAAGATCTCTACTTAAGTTCTTCTCCCCATTCCTCCATGAATGCTCTTCCTGAGACCTTTGACACTCTTTTGCCACAATGGTGAGAGACAGGGATTCCTCAGGGCCAAAGTCTTGCCATAAAGTCATCTATCAAAATTCTTCTGTTTAAATGATCACCTTGCACTATTTATATAAAGAAAGGGAAATGGACATCTACATTATCTGATCGGATGCTTTGGATACCAAGTTAAATAAATGTATTATCTACCCCTGTTCTGGGCCACCTCAATATCAAATCTTCCTTCATGAAACATCACAGATAGTTCATGGTCACGAGCCCTAGGTGAAGGAGACCTGGTGTAGTACTCAGGTGGGATATTGAGCATGTATGGGGACATGATTATCTATGTGTGAGCCTGCCTGATGAGTGGCTCATTTTCTTAAGGAACATTCATGTATTTATTCAATAAGAACTTGGTGAGTGCCTACTATTTCCCAGGTCCCTATGCCAGGCTCTTAGGAAGAAGCTGTGAACAACAAAGACACAGCTCCAGCCCTTCGGGGGACACACATCTCTATTCAACCCAGATGAGACATCCAGGGTACTTTCCTTTTGTTCTGTCAAAGGCTAAAGCACAGATATTTAAGATCCATTCTGAGTTATGTAAGCAATAGTCAGAAAGTATATACTTTGGTTCCCTCTGAAATTCAACAGGAAGATACATGACATCACATTACTCAATTAGTTTAGCTGAGCAAACTTTCTTCACAGTCATGTGCTCTTGTCTCCTGGTGATGAAGTCCACCTCTGTCTTCTATTAAGAACCCATGTGGTGTGCAGGGACCATGAGAACTGATTTTTCTTTGTAATCCAAAGAGCTTTAAGCCAAAGAATGAGTGCTTCCTCATGATGTGAGGGAAAACACTGAGATTTGAGGAAGTGAAAAGATGTCTGGTTGTCAAACGATCCTTCGTTCTGGAACAGTATTTTACATATTCATGTTGGTAGGAAACAACCTAGTTTCTTTCCACTTAAAAATTCAAAAACCCGTGTCATCTGGGAATCAAGTACATCCCATGTTCCTATGTACTCCTTGTATTACTCTTTTTTTTTTTTTTTTCAATTGTAGCATCTTTTTGGCTAGGATGTCAAATTCCTTAAAAAGAAGAGGCGGCTGCCTATGCTTCTATTTAAAACAAAGGCAATTAAAATTTTGTTCTGAGGACTTTGCTATAGCAAAGTTTAGTTTTAGTTTAGTTTAGTTTAGTTTAGTTTTACTAAACTAAGGGTCTGTTACCACTACTATAGAGAGACCATGCCCTTATATCAAATTCAAAAATAAGCCTTGCTCATGGAGATGTCTCAATTATCAATCTCATTGGAGTCTATCAGTAGGAATTGGGGGGAACAGCTGTCCTTTAACTACTTGCAAACCAAATTTCCTGAGGCATAAACTTTACAATTGTAAATGTTAATACATTCCTCTTTTGTCTGATACAAATAATTCTATCTTCTTGAGGCGAGATGCTTTCTTTTTTTACCTGGGGTTTGGTTTTGCTTCTATTCTTAAGGAACATATCCTACCTTAAAGGTCTTCAGAACCTCTTGAGAGTTTTTGGGCTGGGAGTAAGGCTTGGGTGTCAGCATAGGCACTGCTTTGGGAGTGACAGTTTTGCTTGGAGAGCCACTGCCTGCTGACATGCTGGTATCCAGAACGCTGGTGCGAGCGATGGTGGTTTCCACAGTGGCAGTGAACTTGGGTGGAGGCAGTGACTGTTGCCGCAGGTATTTCATGGGGTTGGGGTCATTCAGGAAGGGGGTTAAGTTTGGCTCTGTTGAATGGCTTCTTTCCAGAATTTTTGGCATCTCCAAGCGTTCGAGAACAGCCTCGCTGATGGTGAACCTTTCGATGTACTGTTGAAGGATCCCCTCTGCTTCCTCCTGAGACCGTGCGTTCTTGTAGGCCTCATGCAACTCCCTCTCTCTCCGCTCTCTAAAGGAGGAGCATGGGAAGGGCAGCAAGAACAAAGTCAACAGTCACAAAAATGGCAAAGAAGACCTTGGTAGGAACCAAGGTCGAGCTGAAAGGGGAGCACGGGGAGTGTGGAATACTGGTGTCAGAGCCTCTGTGAATACCAACAATTTTTAGAAAAAGCACATCTCGAGCATATTGCACATTTAAAACAACAACAAAAGAACTCACTTTTCTTGAACAATTTCTCTGTAGGTTTTGATGCTTTTCCTTCGTTCACTTGTTCCATCCTCTCCAGCCAGTAACTTCTCCATTTTCTTCCTTTCTTCCTCTTTCTTGATTAAGTCCTGGGAAGCGCTTCTTCTACGACTCTTCCAACGAGCCAGGTCCTAGTGGGGGCGGGGGGTCAGGGGTAGACAGGACATACTTCTCCAGGCTTACACACAACTCCATGTCTACTCTTTAGAGTTTAGTGAGCACTCGCGATGGGCCCAGCACTATGCTAGGGCATTGCCACCCAATCCAATGTAAGTCTGGTTGGAACAGGAATGCCTCAAAGGCAGGAAATATTCAGATAGAGCTACAATATCCACAGCAGGGCAATGCATTCATTTAAGCACAGTAATGTGAAATGCAATCATATTTCACGTCAGCTGCTAAATTTTAAAGTATTGCTTCACAGGGTATCACAAGAAATTTCATTTCTTCCGATTTATGACCTGTGCATTGTGAATGGACTTGCTGACAACAGGATAGTAGGAATCAGCCACAGACCTACACAATTTCCTCTGGGAAGGAAGAAAAGGCAGAAATAATTATTTCTAGGAGTCTGGAGTCAGGTGGATGGGAGTGCAGCTGTGGGAAGTAATCCTAGCGCTATCTCTTCCATGCTTTGGAATCTCAGGCATGTTTCTTAGCCTGTCTGTACCTCTGTTTCCTCATCTCTAAAACAGGGATGCCAATTACACCTACTCTTACCAGCCTATGGTGAGGGTTAAATGACATAGTACAAATAAGGTGCCAGACACAGAGTAAGTGCCCAATATATTGTAGTCATAATTATTACTACGTAGACTTTGGAAATGTTAACTTTTTGGACCACCAAGTTTGCATTAGCCACCTCAGAGTGCTCTGTGAGGATTACATGGAAGAATCCACCGTCCTTCTTGTCATCCCTATCTTCGCGTTCTTCCCTGCCCTGGCTCTTTGCTCTCAGCACAGAGACGATCTCAAGGCCCTCATCAGGCCATAGAGACTTCCTTCTCTGGTTCTAATTTTGGCTACCTCACTCACTGCTGTGTGACTTTGGGTGAGTTACTTAGCTCTTCTGGGACATATGTGTGGAACTGAGGATGATACCAGTTGCTACCTCATCGGGTTACTAAGGAAACTGAAGAATTCCTACATGCAAGGCAGAACAGTGCCTGTAACCGGCAGGCTTTCAATGTTGGCGATTATTGTTGCCATCATCATCGTTATTGATTTCAGTGTATCATCTCAAACAAAAGACAGGGCATCCTCAACTCTGCATCCCATGCCGGTTGCCTCCCTCCTGCTCCCCCTCCTTTGTGGCCAACCTTCTAGCAAGAGTACCTGTCGAATACACATCTGTATCCTTCACCTTTCACGTTGCCCTTAACTTTCTCACTAATCCCACACTTCCTGTCACTGGTTTGAAATCCTCTACGGGCTCCCTCCCCCTGCATGGCTTTCAAGCCTGTCTACCCACCCCCCTGATTTCCTGCTCCAAGGGGGCTCTGACCCACGGTTTGGGCAGCCTCCGCGCTGCCCGTGGCCTTGGCCGACACTCACATCTTGCCATTTGTCGTCCTCTTCTCGCAGCTGGTTGTTTATCAGCTGCAGCTGCTCCTGGCGGGCCCTGCTGTGCGGCTGCACCGCGGCCTCCTCCTCACACCGCATGTCAAACATACTCGTGCTCCTGAGCGTGGAGAGAGGAGAGACAAAAATGGACCGGCGCCCGGGGTGTGTCTGCGCGTCCTGCCGCGCGGCGGCGCTACCGCGCTTGGAAAACCGCCCCTTCCCCGCAGCAGCTCAAGCCAGCCCCGTGATGCGGCCAGTTGCGATCCCCCAGCCTGCAGCGGGCATGCTAGCACCCCACTTCTTTTGCCGCGAAAGCCAAAACGTGGCCATCTTTGCCTTCCGTGGTGGCTGCAGCAAGTCAATGTCATTTTATCCGTAGGTGCCAAAATATGTTTATGGACGGGCTAGAAAAAGGTATTTGGAGCTCTAGGCTCTTCTCATTTGGAAATGTAGTAGAAAATAAAATGAGGAGAATTACAAGGTATAACGTAGGGAGAATTTGTGGGGAAGGAAAGAGGGTGCCATCCCACGCAGCAAATACTTCATTACCATAAATGCTTCTTTGCGTAAAGAGCTGTCTTACATGCTTTCTACATTACCTAAGGCAATTTCTCCATTTTCAAAAAAAAATCATTCAGCCTCAAGTCTAAGACACCACCTTTTCATATTGTATTTTCTGACTTGTGGATGCACCCGATAACTACACATTAGTGATTCATATATTTGGTGTACTTATTTGTATTTCCTGTAAAAAATGTCTGTAAATTGGAAGTGCAGTTTGAGAGCATCTCGGAATCAAGGAAATAAGGTATTTTGTAGTAAGATTAAGGAATAAAATATATAAATCAACATATACTTTGTATCCTAATAGTCTCACAAGCATTTTACCTTATTTTTGTCAGGATACTACTGAATTTACTCTTTTAAAAGAAAAAGGATAGGGAAAGCAATTTTTTCAACCCTTAGGCTGTACGTATAATTGATATGTCCTATAGGAGGTTATTAAATGTTGGACAAGACCATAGGGCCTTTTCTATGGTGCTTACATAGACCTTTGTTACAGCAGAAGCTGAAGCAGCAAGGTGAAAACAGAAATAAAACGCAAAGCAAAACCTTCCTTTTTTTTTTTTTCCTCTCAAAGAAATGAGCTCTGGGCCCGAGTGAGTCACAACAGTCCAAAATCAAGAAATGGAGGTTCACTGTTCAACTCTAAGAACAGAAGACTATGATAGTCCATTTTCGAAGCCAGCTTAACACGAAGAAAAAGAAAAGCCATGCACTTAGACACCAGTTAATTCTACACATCATCAGTGATGTCCAAAATAGTTATCCCCACAGCTGGACAATGAACAGCTTCGGCATCACTGGCTGCCAGTGGGTTCCTTGGCAGACGGCTCTCTAGAAGGGGAAGACGTATCCCCAATGCAATGGCTGCCCACATTCAAAATGAATCTTCATGGATCTGTTGGGTGCCTCTTCCCTCTCTCTAGATGTTGGACAATTTAAATCTGACCTAAGAGAGCTAAAACTGAAGACTGTACTTGGGATCTGTCTTCCCCACAAGTATTCTAATACTCTGACTGCATAGAAGGACTTTCACCTGAGGTTTCTATTAGCACAAATATGACAAACCACCGTGTGAAGATGCCTCTACATACTCAGAGGATGGTGCGGACTATGGCAGCCATGTCTCCCAAAAAGCTAAACTGCAGTCCTCAAAGGGGGAAGGGGCTGTGATTTATCATCCATTTTACACTACTTTATCAATGTTGTTTAAGAAAGATTTAGGAATTTGCAGAGGTAGGCTAAAAAGTCTAAGCTCACTTTTTTTAAACTCCAGGGATGAAAATTCACTTAAGGAGGCTTTGTAGAAAGAGACTGAAAATCATCCCATTTCTCCTCTCAGTTAAAAAAAAAAAAACAAAACCAAAAAACCCTTCACCTTAAATCGATCCAATTTAGTCAGTTCATCTTTAAAGGCAATTTACAGTCTTCACGAAGACTGTGGAAGATAAAAACCTCTCTAAGCGGGGCGCTCTTTTAATCGAAGTCGTTAGCAGACTGTGGGTTAGAAAGGAGGCCCCCTTTTCAACTTCGCTATCTACCATTTCTAAAGGGCAGAATTTGGGTTTAGGCCACACCGGGTAGTCATAGAGCCAGGTCTTCTTCTAGAACCTCAGGAAACAATGGCAGTCTTCTCTAATATTTGGGATTTGGTTATGTCACTTGGAAGAGAATGAGAGCAAAAGGCCTTGAGAATTGCCTCTTTCTGTCCAGGATTCCTATCTCTGCTCCCACCATGAAGTTGTAATGATCTCAGCCCCAATGCGGCCAAAAGCTGGTTAGTGAAATCAAAAGAGAAACCCTTGGTTGCCCTCTCATATACCAGGAAGCACTGTTTCCCCCCAGAGGGGTTGGTTGGTTGGTTGGTTGGTTTATTTATTTATTTATTTATTTATTTATTTATTTATTTATTTATTTATTTAAAAAGAAATACCAGCAAACTGGCCAAAATAAAATAAAATAAAATAACTGAACTCTGAGCAATATCTCTATGCTATTTCAAAAAAAGGAACTAAGCAACTTGAAAATTGATAACACTAGACAGAAAATGGGCTGAGTCACCATTCAGACAATGTTCCTTAGCTCAGAGGTTGGACTCAGCCTCCAAAATGAAGAAGTGTATGTCTAGGGACAGGGTAGGGGATCCTGGAGGAGCCCAGGTTCCAGAATATTCATATTAATGTGACTTGCACTCAAGCAGTGCTTCTCAGCCTTGTGCTGTTGGGACAAGGGTCCCTGGCTACAGAGCCCCGAAGTCTCTCCTGGTGGTAGGTTGGCATTTTTGAGGACCAGGATTAAATCACCTCAAGGGGAGCCTGGAAAACAGTTTCTGGGCCAGGTCTACGGTGAGCGAATTAGGAATAAAATAGTCTACGGCTCTCACGGTACACTCGCTCCGTTGGTGGGGAGAGCCTTGGGAGAGGAGGAGTGTGCAAATGAAGAAAAGGGCAAGAAGGTGAAACTACATCTATGGAAACATTCTTGGCTTGCCAGGAGGCGGAAATCTCTGTTTGCCTGTGTGGTAGGTCTGCCCCCGACCTGCATTTTCCTTAAAGGGCACATCTTTTTTTGATTGGGCTGTATTTTAAGAATGTGTCAATTCTGAATAAATAGAGCCTGTGCCAATAATTGCCCTTAAAGATGTTGAAGGAGGGAGATAGTTGGGGAATAAACTAAACATATATTAATTTCTATTTAAAAACGAAACTCCCAATATAAACTTTGCATTTGGCTCCCTGCATGGTTTCATATTAAGTTGTGTCTACTTCCAAGAAGGAAATTCAGCACTTTGTATACTCCTAGATAAGACCTCTGGAAAAGAAGTTTTTATGCTTCTTACTCCAGGAGGCTGCTTTTTGTAAATTTAGAGCGGAGAAGGGAGTCCCCACCTCCACCCCTTTTAAAGATCGTTAACTTTCCCTGTCGGTGAGGTTTCACATTCAGGTACAGGCAAGATTCAAACGCTCTTTAACGTACCTTCTTTTCTTCCACCTTTTGGGATTTCCCAGAGATCCGTCTTAGATAAAGTGCATGATGGCTTTGCATTGATGAAGAATAAATCCATTCCCTCAAAATGTTTTTGCTAACCATATCAAAGTAGTGTTTTGCCTATCAATCTTATATAATCCACCTTTCAGTGAATGTTACATATTGCCACTGCAGATTTTAAAAGTAATAACCAGGGCTCAATTTTATAGACTACTTAACTCCGTGCAATCAGTCAGGCTCAGGCTGAACTTGGTTTTGAGACATGACTGTTCTGCACATCAGCCGCAGAGCAATTGTAGAGCGCACGTTGGGGTCATACCCTGGCACCGGAGTCAGACCGCTTAGTGCTGGGAGTACAAACCAAGCTGATGTGTTGAACACAGACATGGAACAGGTACTCAAAACAGTAGTTTTTTGGCCCAATCTCATTATCGTTGGTGGCAATGGTTTTTGTGTTTTACATTCTTATTTAGACTCCTCACTTGGTGACTTAAAGGCCAAGACTTAAGGCCATTTAAGTCTTTAAGGCCAAGACTTAAATGTCTTAGGCCAGCGTTTGCTTCTCCGATGGCTCAGACTCCCGTGAGGGCACAGAATGCCTCTCACAGAGGAGACATCAGTCTCAGCAGGCCACTGATGTTGTGATTCTTAAAACACAAATTACTCAAATCTGAGAAAGCTAGCATTCTACAAAGAAAACTTTTGCCTCAGATATCTATTTCAGAATGCTCTGCAGATGGGAAATCCATTTTTGAAATGGAGTAAATGCGGTCACAAGCGGGAGAGTGTTGGCTTCTTCTCAAATTTGGACATGAGGCGGAGGTGGGGAATGAATCTCTGACAGGACCGGCACTAAGGGGCAGGGAGAGGAAGCCCACGTCGTGTTTGACATGTTGACCCCTTGCTATGCCACAGAACCGGAATATAACCCCGACGTCCTGGTCAGGAGCACCCCACAGTTTATATTACTCCAACCTGGGAGGAACTTGGGCTTCTGAATCTATAATTAGTGGCTTAGGATTTGTTTTCTTCGTTCAGAAAAATATGGCTATAAGAATGACTGCTCCATTGTTAACTCCAAGTCCTAACATATCAAGAATTAAATGCAAAACGCAGAATAATTCTGTGGTTCAGAAGGGCTACCAACATCCAAACCGTAAGAAGAAAAACCTCACCGTGCCACGTCTAGGAAAAGCAAATGTTAAGTTTAAGCAGCAGCTGCATATTAGAATCATGCTTGTTACTCCTTCATTCATCTGTCCTGCACAGAACATATGTTCTGCATTCCAAGTTCAAGTGCTTTTCTGAGGCTGCATGAGTCAGTTAGCTGTTCAGTTCACTGTTGCATCAATGGCGTTTCAATTAGTAGTGAGTACCGGAAGCATGCAGTTTAAGCTAATAATTAACGTATTCCTATAAACACAAGACAACTTACTCTGCGTCATCAGACACAGGAGTTCTCGGACCGTATCTACAAGACCAAATACACAATTAGAGGATGGGCATGACAGAAGGTAAACACTGTAACCAAGCTGGAAACAAACACTACTGGTGAAATATTGGCACGCCAAACCTTTTTTGCTGATCACACTGGAAGAGAAGTGTCATTATACAATTAGCAATATTCATGAGCTACAGAAAAGGAAAGAAAAGTCTTGGCATTTCTAAAGAACGCAAACTGTGTATTAAAACACAGAGGAGAAATGAAAATAATCCCCATGCTACCCACAAAAAAGAAGCTGTTCAATACAAACACAGAAAGGCTTAGGTGCAACCCACAATGTTTAGAGAAGGCAGTTTAAAAAGAAACAAAACAAAACCTGTATTATGGTTGTTCACAAACAGTTAAGCTCTTCATGCCTTTATGTTCTGCAGTAACGGCTGTAATGGACACCCAACATAGAAGCACACGCTTACTGACCCTTTCCCTGATGTGTTAATGCATTTGCACAAATGACATCAAAGAGTGTTTCTGCACTTTTCTGAAAGCAAACCAGAACTCCAACCAGAACCCCAATCAGTGCCTTCCGCATGCATTTGACAAAAACCACAATTCCTAGAAAACTGGCGGCCTTAATCAAAACCAGGCTTGGATAATATTCCATAACTTGAAAAACCAATGTTTTTTTTTTTTTTAACCTTCTATATTCTTCTGATTATTTAGGTCTACACAGTTGTACCTTCTACAATATAGACACTTTCGGTTTTAATGTGTTTGCTAAAGCAAGGAAAAAGGTTAAATTAGAAAAAAGATATGAGGACATTATAGGGCATATTTTAAAGCACATTTTAAAAAAGCGGCTTCCACAAATGAATATCTCCTCAGCAAAGGGAGATTTTAAGAGAAGGTTCTTACCTATGCCCCAAAAGCATTTCTGCACTCTGATGGTGGACAAAGAATTATTTGGGTAAAGAAAACAATGTCCTGCTTTCAGTTTCCAGCAAATTAAATTTTGGGGGTTTTAGCAAAAATTATCTAGTCTCATGTTCAGTTTCATAACAGTTTATGGGGGAAAATTTCTAAAGATCTCTTCCTATAATCTTAGGGAAAACACCCTGGAATTCATGGGTGCACGCACACATCCTTCTCTCTTATCTGCTCTTACCATTCTAGAACAGTCTGCATTCATTAACAATTGTTTTCATTTACAGTGAAGGCAACGAAACCAGTGCAAAACCCAAAGTTTCTGTTAAAATGGCCAAAAGGTTTGTGGATATTTCTCTTCTGGTAGTAAGGCTCATTTTCTGTTTCTCCAGGGGATAGTTTCAGAAGGAGCTAAAGTTTAACCTAATACCCTCAAGTTTCTAAAAATACTACTACATTGAAACAGATGACCAGTGGATTCCTCCATAATGAGAGAGTGCATAAGCGGTATTCATTCTGAAGACTGGATCTATGCTTCCCAGTTAATTAATAGGCCTGTTGGAACAGGCTTATGCAAATACAGTGTTTTCTAAATTATCTATGGAATAGAGCAGAGAAGTTATGCCTAGTTAACTTAGAAATAATCAATTAATAGTTAGCATGTGTTTTTGTGTTTCTAGCTGAAGATTTCTCTTAATGTTTTATTGAAGTATAATATATGCTGCAGAAAGTGCACCTATCATACACACATTCCTTAGTGAATCTACACAAACCATATATACCCAGAGATTAGTATCAAGTGTTTTCTGCTGTATAAATGGACCCATGTAGTATGTATCCTTTTGAGTTTGGCTTCTTTAACACATTTTGTTGATGAGATTCAGCTATATGTATGCTGTATGTAGGATATATTTTCTTTTTTAAAAATATCTTTAGGGGCGCCTGGGTGGCTCAGTCGGTTAAGTGGCCAACTTCGGCTCAGGTCATGATCTCGTGGTCCGTGAGTTCGAGCCCCGTGTCGGGCTCTGGGCTGACGGCTCAGAACCTGGAGCCTGTTTCAGATTCTGTGTCTCCCTCTCTCTGACCCTCCCCTGTTCATGCTCTGTCTCTCTCTGTCTCAAAAATAAATAAAACGTTAAAAAAATTAAGAAAAAAATATCTTTAGTTTTGAGGAGGTGTGGGGGGAGGGGCAGAGAGAAAGAGGAACTGAGGATCCCAAGCCAGCTGTACATTACGAGCAGAAAGCCTGATGATGTGGGGCCCAAACTCACAAACTATGAGATCATGACTTGAGCTAAAGTTGGATGCTTAACCAACTGAGCCACCCAGGCGTCCCATTTTTTATTTTTCTCTTTTTTTTGAGAGAGAGAGAGAGGGTGCACACGAACAATGGAGAAGGGCAGAAGAAGAGAATCCCAAGCAGGCTCCATGCTGAGCATGGAACGCAACATGGGGCTCAATCCCATGACCTTGGGATCATGACCTGAGCCGAAATCAAGAGTTGGACACTCAATCGACGATGCCACCTGGGCGCCCCACTTGTAGGATATATTTGAATTTAAACTGCTTCTACACAAAATATTTAACAGCATTTCATGGAAATCTCTGTCAACAAATGTACATTTACACTAAAATGTAAGCTCCATGAGGGCAGGGATTTTTCTTTTTGGGTTCCCTGATGGTGACCAGACTAGGACTTCGACAACTATTTATTGAATACTCTGGAAACTGAAAAGAATAGTGCAGTTCCTAAAGATAATGTTCATTTAGCCCTTTACTCTATACTTATGGGTTTAAGGAATTTCCTCTCAGACTAACTTATTAGTTTTAAGAGGGCATCAATTTAAGCAGAACTGCCTTTGCAGTTAAGGAAAAGATAATTAAGCTTGGGCTGCAAATGGCTTTCTCAGTTGTCCTATGGGAAACCGAAAAGTACAGGTAAGTTAAAAAATCACTAATAAAGAGGTTTTCTTTTTTTTAAATGCAAAGTAGGTGAGTCAATAGGTACAAAATTGGCCAGACAAATCAGTTGGTATGAGCATCCCACCAAAAAGAAAAAAAAAAAAAGGAAAGAAAAAGGCAACGAATAAACTTTAATTGTGAGGGTAGGGATATTCAGAAAGATAAAGAGAATATTCTATGCATCTATTGATTGCATGTATTTAACTTTCAGCACTAACAAAGCATTTCAGGATCAATAATTGGCTAGTTATAAACTTCCTTATTGTGAACCGGCATATGCTTCATTTGAAGTGCGAGGGAAGAACGGGTTTCCTGCCCATTTAAAATGATCCCCTAGCACCCAGACCAGTGTTTTACACATAGCGATTACTCAATAAATACTTGTGGAAAAGAAACATGAGTTCCCAAAGCGAATGCTTACTCAGTCACACAACTGTGTCACACAGTTAATCTGACCATATCTCCTTCTGCTCAAACTAGCCATTCATTCTCGTTTGAATAGAAAGAGGACTTTCTCTGAATCACAAATAGGGGGGCAGATAAAAGTGACAGGCAATTCATCAGGCTTCCACAGCTTCCTCCATGCGCGCTGGGCGGTGGGGGGAGGAGGGGCACTGGCTTTCCGCTCAGCTCAGGCAGAGCTGGGTTTGAATGTTGGAACTGTACTTAAAGCTGTGTGGATGTGGACCTCGGTTTCCTAACTGCAAGGTACAGATGAAAATTCTTCCTCCCAAAGGCTGTGTGAGGACCAAATAAATGGGAAAACACCTGGAAAGTGTCTAGTAGGCGGCCACGGGCTTTGCATCCTTCCTCCCTTTCGCTCTAACTGGCTTTACAGCAGCGCCCATAATCCCCGGCTGCACTGTGTCAGGGCGTCTGGAAAGTGAGTGAGTGGGGTGGACCGGGCAGCTCAGTCAGTCCCTCCGTCACTAACCAGCCCTGACTGGCCTTGACCAACCGGGATCTGCGTGTGATCCACGCACTCGCTTCCTTCTACGTCACCCTACCTGTGAATTGCCAGGAGACGGCAAGCTGGAGGGAACAGACACACTTTGACAGGGCCACAAATATTACGAATATTACCCTTGCTTCCTGAAACCAATGTTTCAAGAAGGCTCTACTCTAGTACTAGTATGATTCAGAGGAATGTAAAGCAGAGGTTAGATCCAGGTTATAAAGATAGCTAGGATATTAACTTAAAAATGTGGATGTTACTTGAGATTTTCCCTGCTCCCCATCCTACCTTCTGCCGCGCTCCCTTCAAGGTCCTTCGTGAAGCACAACTCCATCACTTCCTGTTTATAGTGGATCATTTTTTTTTTTTTTTAAGTTTATACGTTTACTTGAGAGAGACAGAGACAATGCAACTAGGGGAGGGGCAGAGAGAGAGAATCCCCAGCAAGCTCCATGCTGCCAGTACAGAGCTCAATGCAGGGCTCGAACTCATGAAACCGTGAGATCATGACCTGAGTCAAAACCGAGTCGGACACTTAACGGAGCCATCCAGGCGTCCCTATAGTGGATCATATAATTATGCAAAACACTCCTCACTCCTTTACCCTACACCGGTCTGGCAGACCACACTTTTAACAAAAAGGTATCACTCTTACTAAATAGCAACAGAGGCTTCAACAAATAGGCCTTTAACAATAAACCCCAGATTATTTCTTTACTCTTCCTTTTAAATCAAGTCATGGCATGGAATAGAAGAAATCTTACCTCTAGAAAGCACTGAGTGTTTGCTAATGTTGAAATTAAATTAAATTACAAACTGCTAAGTGGTATACATCTTCTTTGGACCTGAAGACCCCCCCAGGAATCAAAATGAAATTAAGTAGGTCAGAAAGAAGGTCAATTCGTTTACCTGAGGGCTCCTACATGCACTAATAAGAAATAAAAGAGTTACCCATTCAGGTTGCCCATGAGAGGAGAGTCAGAAAAAATGCTGAACAGGAAAACTTGCAACTGGATATTTTTTCCATACCTGCTTATATGCAAAAAAAGGAAGAAAAAAAAAGTCTTGGCAGCCTGGGCCATTTCTGCAAGCAATAGTGGGTAAGTACCATAATGTGTTAATAACATACTCAAAGCATCCATGAAGGCTCAGACTAGAGAAACAAATCACAAAGGCTCAGGATAGTCTT